CAATACATATCTAATACAAATATTCTGTGTTTATATATACAAGTATTTAATATTTTATAAATGTATTATAAAATTATTTATTTTGGATTTTATTTTTTTTTTTGATTTTCCGCGAGTTGTATTGTGTTTGTTATTTGAAAATATAATTTATATATATATTAAATAAATAATGATTTATTATTATAATAACATTAATACACTACTAATAATAATATTACTAAATAATAATTTCCACTGAGATTTCTAACAAATTAACAATTTAGTGGATTCATAGATATATATATTATAAAATTGTATTATTATATGATATTTTAAAATTATATTATTATTATTGTTGTTGTTGTCTACAGTATATTATTAATGTAAATATTTCAATAATATAATTTAAACAAATATGAATATTAATTACATACTATAGTTATATAGTTTATATTTATATAATTATTGTATAATTTAATGCTACTAATAATGATAATATAGTAATATAATAATAATAATAAATATTAATACAATAATATATATATTGAGTCAATATATAGATATGCCAGTATATAGGAAAGGGCTGATAGTGGGGGTAGGGGTGGTATAGTCAATATACTGTACTTATAAACTGGTATGTATAGATATAGATAGGATATACTGTAGTGCATTGATGTTAAGCATCCCATGAGAAATACATTGAGATATATATATATATATAAAGTATTGTAGTATTTGTTTCATTTTGGTGTTGTTTTGTAAGCCATAGTATATATTATTTTGTCGATCGGTTGGTTCATTCACTCAATATATATATATATATATATATATATATATATATATATATATATATATATATATATATATATATATATATATATATATATATATATCTGTAGTATATATATATATACTGTATATACCGGTATATAAACTGTAGTATTGTATATATACAGTATAAGCACACAACTTATGTTTGGCTCAATTGTCGCCCGCCATCCAAGTCCTCAGTGCACTAACACATATACACTGTACACACATATACTGTATATACACAATAAACAACAACAACAACAACAAAATTACAGAATATTCTTGAGTCTTAAATTAGATTCTCAACTCAATTGTCTCATCACATCCCTGTCCCCATTGCTTTTAGTTAGTCGACATTTTTATTTGTATGTATGTGTGTATGTGTTTCAAACTCTTTCTATCTATTTATCTCTCTCTCTCTCTCTCTCTCTTAGTTTCTCTCTCTCTCTTAGTTTTTATCTCTCTCTCTCTCTCTCTCTCTCTTAGTTTTTCTCTCTCTCTCTCTTAGTTTCTCTCTCTCTCTCTCTCTCTCTTAGTTTCTCTCTCTCTCTCTTAGTTTCTCTCTCTCTCTTAGTTTCTCTCTCTCTCTCTCTCTTTCTTAGTGTCTCTCTTAGTGTCTCTCTYTCTCTCTCTCTCTCTCTCTCTCTCTCTCTCTCTATATATATATATATATATATATCTGTTTATCTATACATTATTTATCTATCACTACAATTGTTATTCAATGACTATTTTTTTGTTGTTGATTACTATTGTTTTTTTATATTATTTGTATTTCAAACAATTAATTAGTTTTTATTTATATAAAAGTTTACTCTACAACTACTACTACTATTACTACCACTATTACTATTTATAAAGTTTGTTGTATAAAAATAATTTACATTTGATTGTAATAATTGAAAACATTTATTATATTAAGTACAGTGTTTTTTTTTTAATTTTATTTATTTAGTTTTTTGTTTTTGTTAGAGATAGAAAATACAAAAATAACATTTTAATACAAAAACAAAAAAATATACAAAAATACAAAAAATAAATTTGTTTTGACATATGAATTAATTTTCATGAACTTATATTATAATATTATATATTAAAGTAAATTTATAAATGGGATTATTATTTAATTATTTATTTAGTTAGTTAGACATTACTTATACAATAATAAATTGATTAGTTATATAAATATAAATAATAATAATTAATTATTATATAATATAATAAGTAAACAAATTAGCCGTAAAATCTGGATAGGAAAACACATTATCAAAAAAAAATTAATATTAATATCTAATAAATTATAATTTAAAAAAAATCCAAATTATTATTATTATTACTTATCAATACATTTTAGTAAATGGTTTTTTATACTGTATGTGAAAACTCTTTAGGGATTTATTATTATTTATTTTAGTCATTGAAACATCTTATATACAAAAAAAACTAAAACATTACATTAGAAATTTATATCTATATATATATATACATTATATAGATATATAGATAGATATATACGTTATAACTAAATATATATATATATTAAAAAAAATCCCCAAATTGTCACACTATCCCTCTCATCAATCATTTTGTATATACACTCAAAAATTATTTAATATATCAAAATCATATATGTAATTGATTGAAAACATTGCCATTATATATATATATATATATAATGTATCGGTAGTTGTGTGTGTGTGTGTGTGTAATATTAAATTAAATATTAGAAAATCATTATCAACAACAACAACAACAAAACAATTATATCAAAATTTATTTTTTTATTTATATAAAATATAGTTTAGCTAATTATCTAGCAATTTGTAATTCAATCTCTTTTTTTGATAATAATACTGTAATTATATAATAATGTTTTATTATTACACTGTGTCATTGTGTATGTATGTGTGTGTATATGTAAGTGTGTGTGTGTGTGTATATATGTATGTATGTATGTATGTATGTATGTATGTGTGTGTGTGTGTGTGTGTGTGTGTGTGTGTGTGTGTTTGTGTATATTTATGTTTTTATGTATGTATGTATGTGTGTGTGTAAAGTATGTATGTATGAGTGTGTGTGTGTGTGTGTGTGTGTGTGTGTGTGTGTGTGTATGTATGTGTGTGTGTGTGTGTGTGTGTGTGTGTGTGTGTGTGTGTGTGTGTATGTATGTAWGTGTGTGTGTGTGTGTGTGTGTGTGTGTGTGTGTGTGTGTTTTATATATGTTTCAATCAAGCATTATAAGGCTTATTATAAATTTATTGACTAACAATGTTTAAGATGATTACCTTATTAAAATTTTATCGCTAACTTGTAAAAACAAATAAAACTTATTATATAATTTACAGTGTTTTATATTACAGTATTATATTATCTGTATTATCTGTATATTACAATATTATTATTATTATTAGGATTAAATGTATGTATGTGTGTGTATGTGTATGGAAATTGTAATAAAATCTAATATAATTTAATTTATATATAAATTTTTGTTGTTGTTGTTGTTGATGTATAAAAGCTATGTTAATACACTTAGCAACTAATTTACTATTTTTTTTGACACTAGATTTAGGACACAAATTTAAAATTAACAAAAAAAAATGTCTTTATATATACTGTTTAATAGTAGTAAAATGTTTTGTCTCTTAAGATTTTGCTGTCTTTTATATATATGTAGAAAAAAACAATAACAAAAAGTTAATCAAAATTTTTAAGCTTTTAAAAAAAGTTTTAAGTATGATATCACTTTATTTTTCGAGATATCTCATTAAATATAAATTTATGGTATACTATATACAGTATATAACTTTATATTTATATATATAGTATATTTACAGTAGAGTAGAGTGTATATGTATAACATTTTTAAGGTATAAAACATTGAGAGTTATATAATAATAAAGTATCAGTTAAATAGACAGAAAAAAAACTAAAAATAAAAATTTGTAGCAAAAAGTAAAACATTACACAATTGTGTGTCAAAAAAAAATATTTTGTCGCAAACATACACATACACATACACATACACATACACATACACATACACATACACATACACATACACATACACATACACATACACATACACATACACATACACATACACATACACATACACATACACATACACATACACATACACATACACATACACATACACATACACATACACATACACATACACATACACATACACATACACATACACATACACATACACATACACATACACATACACATACACATACACATACACATACACATACACATACACATACACATACACATACACATACACATACACATACACATACACATACACATACACATACACATACACATACACATACACATGTGATACTATATATATATATATATATATATAAAATGTAGTTCACGTCTATTTGATGGACTCATTGATTCATTGATTTGCTGATCCCTTTTGTTGTGATTTATATATAAATATATCTTATTTTCTTTTATTTTTTTATTGAATCTCTTTATTTAGTTTTTTTCCTCTCTCTCTCTCTCTCAAACTGTATATTACAGACTCATATATACAGTATATGACTCCTGTTTTTTAGTTGACAACACCAACACACAGACATAAACTTTTTATTTTTTTTTGTGATTTTATTTCTCATTTGAAACTTGAATCCATGTATGTTTCAGACAGTCAGACAACCAGTCAGTCAGTCAGTCAGTCAGTCATAGCCAACAACAACAACAACTAAATCTTATGTGTATCCCTTAAATCACGTTTTAATATTAAGAGAAATAAATAAATAGTAGTGAAAAAAAAGTATATATATTTTTTTCAAGCAATTTATCTGTATTTGATTTCAATGGTTATCATCAAAAAAATAAAATCTAAAAAAATACAAATATTCTCTATATTCTAGGTTTAGATTGATTTTATATTTCTATATATATATATATATATATTATGTGTGGATAAAACTTTTTATATATTTTATAACCAATCAAAATTTTAGTTTTTCAAAAAAATAAAATACTCATTATAATTGGTTGTTAATAATAATAATAATAATAATATAAAAATATAAATTAACTATTTTTTTATTAAAAAAAAATATATCGATATATAATATCGTTTTTATTATTGGTATAATTATTTTCTCCTAATATTTCAAATGCTTATTAATGTATCATTTTTTTTAACAAAAAATATTTTTTATAATTTATAGTAACCGTCTATAATGATGTCCAGACATCGCTGGGCGATAGGGCACAGTTACCATGCAATGTAACGGCACCGTCGGATGACGATTCGGTAACATTGGTACTCTGGTACCGAAGTGATGTGAAAATATTGCCCATCTATACGGTCGACATACGACACAACCGGGAAAAAGCAAAACACTTAACCCACGAAGTGTTGGCCGACAGAGCCTTTTTCAATCTAACCGTCCGGCCGGCTATACTTCAATTGTATCCCATACTGGAAACCGATTCGGCTGAATACCGGTGCCGAGTAGACTTCCGATGGGGTCGTACTCTAACATCTATTGTCAATCTTAATGTCATTGGTTGGTGTAAACTGTATTATAATTATTAGTATTATATTTGATATTTATAGCAATTTTTTATATTGATATATCTTCAATATATTTATTATATTTATATTGATAATTAGTAGTTTATTTTTTATATTATATTATATATATTTATAATGCATACTAATTGAATTAAATTAATTAGCATATATACCGTATAGATATATATATAAAATATATTTAAGGGATAATTGTAAGATTCATTTAAAATTCATTATAGATAGCTAATTATATAGTAGTATTCAAACTTTATATATAAATTTATATATATTATAGATAGTTTATATAGATATATATATATATATATATATAAAAGTCTAATTGAATATAAATTATATGATTTATACCATATCTTAGATATGTATGATATCTATTAGAAGTGTTATTTTATTTTTTTAAGTATAATTTATTAGACACACTGTTTTTTTTCATCCACTAATAATTTTATTTGAAAAATTAATTAAGTTGTCAACCCTGTTAAATATAATATATTTATTAATATATATATATACTAACTTATATACTATTATATAATATAGAGTATACTTTTATAGTAGTAATAATAATAAATGTTGTTTAACATCAACAACAACAAAAAAAATGATGTTATAATTGCTATAATAATAAATTTATTATTTATTTTTTTTTATTATATACTTTTAGTGCCTCCAAAAAGGATATATATAACGGATGCCCGCAATCAACAGTTATCACGTCTTGTGGGACCAGTTGAAGAGGGATCTGATGTACGGCTAAACTGTATAGTGGAGGGCGGTATGTATTTTTTGTGTACAACAACACCACCAGCACTAGTAGTTATAGTAGTTATCAGTAATACCCAAGTAATAGTTGTCTTACAATAATTATATTTATCTATATATTAGTCACTCAGTTATATATATATTTAAGGAGATATCATATAAGAGAAGATATAAGAGAGAGAGAGAGAGAGAGAGAGAGAGAGAGAGAGAGAGAGAGAGAGAGAGAGAGAGAGAGAGAGAGAGAGAGAGAGAGAAACTAAATGACTGTGTGTTTAATAAACAATTCATCTTCAAAAACGATTGTCTCATTTTTAGGAGAAACACTATATATACTGTATATATCTCTGATATTTTTATTTATTGTCTTTAATCCATATCTATTGTGTGTTAAGTAGTAGTAGTAGTAGTAGTACTGTAGTGTCAATGATATGAAAGAAGAGAGAGAGAGAGAGAGAGAGAGAGAGAGGAGTCAATAAAAATAATAATAATACCAGTAGTAGTAGTAATCATAATAATAATGTGAAACTAATGATTTGTCTATCATTTGACAACTATGCCCACTATCTCTCTCTCTCTCTCTCTCTCTCTCTCTCTCTCTCTCTCTCTCTCTCTCTCTCTCTCTCTCTCTCTCTCTGTCTCTCTCTGTCTCTCTCTGTCTCTCTCTGTCTCTCTCTCTCTCTCTCTCTCTCTCTCTCTCTATTTGCTCTTTTTCTGACTCTTTCAGCTCTTTATTAATGAATTATTACTATTATTGTTATTATTGTTATTATTATTGAAAATTATCTATTATTTATTGTATTTTTCCCTCCCCTTCCCCTATTATTATTTCAGGAAAGCCCAGTCCTATAGTGCACTGGTATCGCGATAACGTACTAATAGATAGCACGTCATCGACTATTACTACCACTTTGATTGTTGCCGATGACGGTACTAACGACTCATCTTCATCCTCATCATCATCAGCCACTACAGGCATAACATCCAGCAGTACTACTACATTGTTAGCATCGTCGTCATCGTCATCATCGTCAGTGTCGTCATCATCATCGTCGACGACGACAACATCGATATCACGTGTAAAAAATGAACTCCTAATTGAAGACATTCGCCGAAATCAGTTAAACTCAATCTATAGTTGTAATGCAATTAATAACAACATCTTCAACAACAACAACAACATTAGCCAACAACAAACATCTTTGCCGGCACTGTCCTCCCCGTCGTCATTGTCGACACTTTCAGCATTTGTCACGTTTGATATTTATGGTAAAACAACAACAAAAAAAAAACAAAATAAAACACAAAATTTATAGATAAATAAAACACAACATTAGGCTAACTATGTGTGTGTGTGTGTGTGTGTGTGTGTGTGTGAATGTTTGTCTGTGTATGTGTATATGTGTGTATGTATGTGTGTGTATGTGTGTGTATGTATGTGTGAATATATGTGTGTATGTATGTGTTATGTGTGTGTGTGTGAATGTGTGTGTATATATATGTATGTGTATATATATATGTATGTGTATGTATATATATGTATGTATGTGTATATGAATGTGTGTGTGAATGTGTGTATATATATATATGTATGTGATATATATATATTGATATGTGTGTGTACTGTATGTGTGTATATATGTATATGTATGTATGTGTGTGTGTGTGTGTGTGTGTGTGTGTGTGTGTATGTTTGTGTGTGTGTGAAAATTATTGCCCACCAAAACTCCTTATCAGCAAAATGCACATCACTTTTCCCTTTAATTTTTTTTTTTTTTTTGAAAGAAAATATCTCTCAAACACTCCTTTTGCATCTCAACACACAAAAAAAACTCTCAAAACTTTTTTTTTTTTTGTTTTTGATGTTTGATTTTGTTTACAATATTATACATATCATTATTGTAAATTTTACTCTATGTATATGTATGTATTGTATGATAATGTATGTATGTTGAGTGTGTGTGTGTGTGAGTGAGTGTGTGTTTAAAATACTAACATCAAAAAAATTTGCTTTAAAATCGTGTATTGTTTTTTATTGGTCAACAATTTTTATTGTTGTTGTTATTGTTGTTGTTGTTGTTGAATGTTTTGTTCATAGATTTGTATTAGTTTTTATATATATTTTTTATTAGTGAAAACAATAGTATATACAGAATATATATATATATATATATATATATATAGAATATTAAACATTGATTTCAATAAGTAATTTCAATTATAATATTTTGGTAAAAACCATACAATTATTTTTTTGTTGTTGAAAAATTACATTATTATCTAGTATTTTTTATATTGGTAATTTTTGTTAAATATATATTCAATGTACAGTTTTAACCTAGGGTAATTATTGTAACTATTAGTTATATATACTGTATATACATATAGTTAACAATTAAATAGCAAACTAAGTGTTTTAAGTTTATGCTGCCTTTAATATATACTAACTATTATATTGAGAATCTGTATAATACTGTAAATTATATATATATATATATATATATATATATATATATACAGTAAATAAATGTTTGCAAACATTTTTGTTTTAACAAACATGATATGCTTGTTTAGTTTAATTTTGTTTGTTTGATTGATTTTTTTTGTTTTTGTATATATATATATATATATATATATATATATATAGATATTTGTCGACAAATTTTGTTTTATTTTTAACACTGATTGTGTTTGTCATAGCATGTGTGTGTGTGTGTGTGTGTGTGTGTGTGTGTGTGTTAAATATATTGTATTAAAAGTTATTGATTAAAAAGTTTATGTATTTATTATATACTGGTATAAAAAATATAATTTTTTTTACTAATATATATATTGTAGTATTAAACCCCAACTTATTTAATGTATTTATTTATTTATCAGTCAAAAACACATGTCATTTATAATTAAATACAAGTAGTAGTATAGTTGTAGTAGTATTAGTAGTTATATCTTAATGAATGACATTTAATATGATATCTTTATATATATATATATATATATATATATAGTATATAATAAATTATATAACTTATATAATAAATAACTAATATTGAAATATACCGGTATATATATATATCAATATTTTTAATGTACAATATTCATGTGTTATACTTTATATACAATATATTGATATATATATATATATGTTGATAATAACCAACAAACCGTTTTTCAATACAAACACTAATAACCCCACAAAAAATATATATATACTTTATATATATATAAATAAATATTTATTTTTATAAATATTTTATTTTATTTTTTCCGTTATAACAGTTAAGCCGACAGACGTGAAGATAATATCTATAAGAAGACCGCTGTCTTCAGGAAAGAAATTTGAGTTAATTTGTCGGTCGTATGGCTCGAGACCTCCCGCCCAACTCACTTGGCTTAAGGATAACAGATTGCTATCTAAAACCCGGTTAGTTATGTCATTGACTGTATATATATATATATATATATATATAATATATTTGTTTGATATATATGTTAAATATTTTGTATATTGAAAGTAAAATATACAGTATTTATATTAATAATTTAGATATTATTATTAGGAGTAGTAGTTATAAATTAATATTAAAAAAATATTATTTATTTAATGTTATATTGATATTAAATAGCATATAATTATAAAATATTTTAATTTTTAACTTATGATATCAATTGTAAGTTAAAATTAATAATATTTTATATACAGTAATAAATATTATTATTTTTCAAAATAGCCTTAATTTGTTTTTTATATCTTTTAGTTATTTAATTTGTTTTTTTTCAATATTAATTAATTATTTAATACACTTTTTTGTATGTTTGCAAAACATTAATTAATTGCAAATTATTTATTATTATTTTTTGTATTATATAATGATTTTTGTCTGAAAAAATTGATATTAAAAAATACCTATTAATCATTTTTAAAAATATATTATTATTTTGATTGATATCATATACGTGTATCAAATATTATTATTAGTAGTAGTAGTAGTAATAGTTGTTATTAAATGTTTTTATTTTATTTATTGGTTTAAAAAGATATCGATAAAAAATTGAAAATAAATAAATAGATTGTAAAATATATATATATATTAATACTTTTTTGTTAAAAAAAATTAATTAATTTTATTGTTGATATAATATTGAATTTTTTATATCATTTTTTTAATAAATAGTATGTGTGTATTGTATGGATAGGATATGATATGATATATTGATAAATATATATTTTTAGAAAAAATCAATTTTACACTTTTATCATTATCAATATTTGTATTATTAATTTTTAATAATAATACAAAATACTGTAAGTATAAGTTTAGGTTTGTTTTGTTTTGTTTTGTTTTGGTTGATTTTCAGCCTAAAAATAATATACCTAAAAAGTTTCTCATCTAATAAATAAATATTAGTATATAGTATTAGATAATTTATTTATTGTTTATATACCGTATATATATAGTACAGTATATAAGCGGTAAAATAAAAGAAAAATTATTTCAAATAACTTAGTTATGGTTTCAAGCAAACTGTAATTCATGTGTGACACTAACTTTATGTGTGTGTGTGTGTATGTACTGTATATGTGTATGTATGTGTGTATGTATGTGTGTATGTATGTGTGTATGTATGTGTGTATGTATGTGTGTATGTATGTGTGTATGTATGTGTGTATGTATGTATGTGTGTGTGTGTGTGTGTGTGTGTGTGTGTGTGTGTGTGTGTGTGTGTGTGTGTGTGTGTGTGTGTGTGTGTGTGTGTGTCTATGTATGTGTTAGTTGTCTATCTGTGTATTACTTTAATGAGTGGGTAAAGAGATATAAGATAAATGAGAGCTAAAAGTGTGATAAAATAATAAATTATATTTACTTTTAAAAGACAACTTCGACGACAGGTTTTGATAGATGAGAGATAATATGGTTAACCATTTTTTTTGTGTGTTGTTGTGTTCACTAGTTGTTTGTATACAGAAAGAGAGAGAGAGAGAGAGAGAGAGAGAGTATTGTGTCGATAATAATTATAATCAAAGTTTTAGTTTTTCTTTATATATAACTTATATAATAATAATAATAATAATAATTCTCTCTCTCTCTCTCTCTCTCTCTCTCTATCTATCTATCTATCTATCTATCTATTTGTGGCAAACATTTGCTTTTATTATTTTTTTCTTCACTCGTTTTGTTATTTATTTGGTACTAATATTATGGGTATTGTCTGTCTCTCTCACTCTCTCTCTCTTTCTCTCTCTCTCTCACTCTCTCTGTCTGTTTTAATCACCAAAAAAAACAAATAAATAGAGAGACGTTTTCAGATGAGGGAAACGTGACGACCAGTGTTCTCGAGTTTACTCCCAGTGCTGAAGATCACGGCTCGTATCTGAACTGTCGGGCAGAGAACCTACGGTTAGCCAACAGCTCCATACAAGACCAATGGCTGCTCAGTATATTCTGTATGTATTACTACTATAACTATTACTAACTACTAGTTTTTACTATACAATACAATACGATATTTGTATATACTGTATATATAAAAAAACCTAACGGTGCTATTACAGATGCACAGTCAGCATATAATTTATATATATTGTATATACCGTATGTATACTGTATACTACAATACATATTGTGTGTATACAGAAAAATAATACATAGAGAATAATTATATACATATAAAAAACATATAATATATATATATATATACAGTATATATAGATTATACACAGAATATATGGTATATAATTCCTGTCAATTGCTGTTAGTTTTGTTTGTTTTATATTTAAAAAAATATATATATATATATATATTTCTATTATATATTTTTTGTTGTTGTCGGCCGGCCGTCATCGCGAAAACCAGTCCAACCGAAAGTAAACTTAACAATGAAAACCAATTCACCGAACGGACTGGTAGTCGAGGGAAGTCAGCTATCGATGGAATGCCTCATTTCTGCCAATCCATCTGTAGTTGAGGTCAAATGGCTATTCAACGGAACGCCTTTAAAACAAGACATACAAAAAGGTATTGTATTATACTATATATATATATATATATATATATACAGTATATCGGATCGATATATACAGTATATTGATATTTATACACACATTATATATATATATATAATGACCAACAATATAATTTATATATTATATATATTGTTATATAATATGATGATGATAACAGTGATGGGGGGAAAATTGATAGACAAGCAAATTATTATTATTATCATTATTATCATTATTTTCATTATTATTATTATTATTTGTATATAATTATTATCAATTGCAATCACATATAGAAAAATATAGAAATTATTAACAAAATAATAATAAAGTGTTTTTTTGTTGTTGTTATGATATTATGAGTTCATATATTTTAAATATATTTAAATTTATTATTTAATTTTTTTTATTGATCTATTTGTTTGTTTAATAATTTGCATATAATTTAATAAATTAATTTTTCATATATACTGGGTATATCTTTTTAAAAACATATTAATATATATATATATACTATATATATAGATTGATATATACGGTATGTTTCCATATAATTATATTTTTTTTAAAAATTATTATTAATTCATTTTTATTTATTTTATTTTTAATTTATTATTACCAAAAATATTTTATATTAATCATATAGTTTTTTTTGTTGTTGATATTAAACATATGCAGACCAAACAACAACAAAATATTTTAGTGTTAAATATATTTATAGTTTAGATAACAACAACAAAAAATATAATTTTAATATAAATAAAAAAATCCCATTTATACATAATAACAATAATTTTTTTTGAGCATAAAATAAATTATTTATAATTTAATTTATTATTATTTGTTTGTTTATTTATTTTAACTACAATACATAAATAATACAGTAATTTTTATTTATATATATATATATATTTATGATTTTTTCTTTAAATAAAAACAATAATAATAATTTACAAACTAATTATATAATGAAACACAAAATTCTTTACTATTATTATTATTATTATTATTACTACTGTATTACATGTATTAATATTTTATTATACAGAAACACACATATACTGTATATATATAATATGGAAAAACTCTGAGATTAATAATAATAATAATAATAATAATAACATATATTATTAATAATAATAATAATATATATTTATTTGTTATGATTGTTATGATTATTATTATTATACTATACTTTTATGTCCATTAGATTTATACATAAGAAATGCCAGTCTTGAGATACGGAGTGTCAGTCGCGAAGATGAAGGCCTTTATCAGTGTTCGGCCTCTAATTTAGAGGGAAAGTCGGATAGCAATGATATACGGCTTCGTATACACTGTAAGTCCATATGTTTATGTATGTATGTATGTGTGTGTGTGTGTGTATGTGTGTATGTGTGTATGTGTGTATGTGTGTATGTGTGTATGTGTGTATGTGTGTATGTGTGTATGTGTGTATGTGTGTATGTGTGTATGTGTGTATGTGTGTATGTGTGTATGTGTGTATGTGTGTATGTGTGTATGTGTGTATGTGTGTATGTGTGTATGTGTGTATGTGTGTATGTGTGTATGTGTGTATGTGTGTATGTATGTGTGTATGTGTGTATGTGTGTATGTGTGTATGTGTGTATGTGTGTATGTGTGTATGTGTGTATGTGTGTATGTGTGTATGTGTGTATGTGTGTATGTGTGTATGTGTGTATGTGTGTATGTGTGTATGTGTGTATGTGTGTATGTGTGTATGTGTGTATGTGTGTATGTGTGTATGTGTGTATGTGTGTATGTGTGTATGTGTGTATGTGTGTATGTGTGTATGTGTGTATGTGTGTATGTGTGTATGTGTGTATGTATGTGTGTATGTGTGTATGTGTGTATGTGTGTATGTGTGTATGTGTGTATGTGTGTATGTGTGTATGTGTGTATGTGTGTATGTGTGTATGTGTGTATGTGTGTATGTGTGTATGTGTGTATGTGTGTTTGTGTGTATGTGTGTTTGTGTGTATGTGTGTATGTGTGTATGTGTGTATGTGTGTATGTGTGTATGTGTGTATGTGTGTATGTGTGTATGTGTGTATGTGTGTATGTGTGTATGTGTGTATGTGTGTATGTGTGTATGTGTGTATGTGTGTATGTGTGTATGTGTGTATGTGTGTATGTGTGTATGTGTGTATGTGTGTATGTGTGTATGTGTGTATGTGTGTATGTGTGTATGTGTGTATGTGTGTATGTGTGTATGTGTGTATGTGTTTATGTGTGTATGTGTGTATGTGTGTATGTGTGTATGTGTGTATGTGTGTATGTGTGTATGTGTGTATGTGTGTATGTGTGTATGTGTGTATGTGTGTATGTGTGTATGTGTGTATGTGTGTATGTGTGTATGTGTGTATGTGTGTATGTGTGTATGTGTGTATGTGTGTTTGTGTGTATGTGTGTATGTGTGTATGTGTGTATGTGTGTATGTGTGTATGTGTGTATGTGTGTATGTGTGTATGTGTGTATGTGTGTTTGTGTGTATGTGTGTATGTGTGTATGTGTGTATGTGTGTATGTGTGTATGTGTGTATGTGTGTATGTGTGTATGTGTGTATGTGTGTATGTGTGTATGTGTGTATGTGTGTATGTGTGTATGTGTGTATGTGTGTATGTGTGTATGTGTGTATGTGTGTATGTGTGTATGTGTGTATGTGTGTATGTGTGTATGTGTGTATGTGTGTATGTGTGTATGTGTGTATGTGTGTGTGTGTATGTGTGTTGTTCTCATTATCATCCAAACCAGACTACTACTACCAGTGCAAAACAAATATATGATACATCATATGCTGATGATTTATATATGTGTATATATCAGAAATATAATAATAATATTACTGTATATTACTATTAGATCCCAAAAAATGCATATACAGTATACTGTAGTAATATATATTGATATATAATTTATATATTTTATTTTTATCAATATCTTTAAATCAAGAATCTATAGCAAAATTTATTTATATTTATTGATATATATATATTAATAATTTAGATATTAGTTATTGTTGTTGTTGTTGCTGTTGATGATGGCATACATTACGGTATATATCCATCTAATGATATGTATATATACTGTATTTATATAATATATAATATATTGATATTTATAATAATAATAATATTATTATTATAGTTTTATATTATACCCACACATATATACAGTATAATAGGCAACTCTCCAAATAGATAAATAAATTGTCTGATATATACCGTATATAATCAATATATATATATATAAATTATATTTGTTTTGAATGGAAATTGAATTTTTATTTTTATTATACAATATTGTATATTGTATTATCAGTATTGTCTGTATTGTGATATTAAAAATTGATTGTCATTATTATTATTATTATTATTGGATCCATCAGTTGCACCGATTTGTAAGCAAAATCGCTGGAATAATAGTATCGGTGCCGCTATTGGCGACACAATTGAATTGGTTTGTATGGTTGAGGCATCACCTGCTTCTGTCACATTTGACTGGACAGTCAACCGACTGGCAATTGACAACAACAACCATAACAACAACAACGATGACAATCATATGCAGAAGCACTCGGATCAACATCTAACCAGTCGTCTACTCTATACGGTTAACAATAGAGATAGCTATGGTATCATTGAGTGTACGGCCAAGAATATAGTCGGCCGACAACGACAGGCCTGTCATTTCAATATAATAGCCGCCGGTTTGTGACATTAGATATATATATATTTATTTTTGTTTGTTATTTGTTTGTTTGATATAAATATAAAGTATTTTTTGTTTTTTTTTTTGGTTGTTTGGACACATTTTGTTTGTTATTTTAAGCACTTATAGTGCAGTAATAGAGAATAATAGAGAGAGAGAGAGAGAGAGAGAGAGAGAGAGAGAGAGAGAGAGAKAGAGAGAGAGAGAGAGAGAGAGAGAGAGAGAGAGAGAGTATAGCAGAATATTCTTAGGGAATATATATTTATATTTATGGATATTATGTTTATTTATTTTTTTATGTTTGTGTTTGTCTTGTTTAGGATAGTTATTATATATATATATAGAAATAAATGTCTTATATTTTTTTTGTATATATTTAAGCGACAATATTGTTAAATAACATGACATTATAGACAAATGTTTAATCAATAATTCTCTCTCTTTCTCTCTCTCTTTCTCTCTCTCTTTCTCTCTCTCTCTCTTTCTCTTTCTATGTTTATATTATTTGTTTTATTTTATATACATTTATATATCAATATATTGTATATTTAGGTCCACCGGAATCGGTAATCGACTGTAGAGTTAGTAATATAACTGAGGCATCATTTCTTGTTGAATGTCTGGCCGGCTATGATGGAGGTCTGAATCAGACCTATCATTTGGATATATATGACGACTCGGAGCTCAAGAGATTAGTGAAAAAATTGTCAAATAAATTGAAACCCATATTCCTGGTGGAAGGCCTACGATCGGGACATATATTTTTTATGAACATATATTCGGTAAACTCTAGGGGCAAGAGTACTGATCAGACAATAACTAGTAATACATTGACTAGTTTATCATCGTTATCAAGTGATGGTATGTAATTTTTTTGAAATAACCAGGGTTGGAAAAAATACAATGTTTTATATATATATATATATTTGTTGTTGAATTTTTTGAGTAATTGTATAGTATGTATAGTAATACATTTAGTATGTATAGTAATACATTAAGTATGTATTATATACAATTTTTTATAATAATAAAATTTTAATATCTATATTATGTTAATAATAACAACAACAAAATTAATTGAGAAATATTTAGTAAAAAATATAATTGCTTTTTTAAAAAATGCATTATTATTATTATATTTGTTTCTAAATAATAATAATAATAATAATAATGAAATAATTAAATTAGAAATTATTATTAAAAATAATATTTAAATTTATATTTCCTATAATTACATGGTATACATTGTTTATAAGCCAAATTGGCCATGTATTATACATTATGTATTATACTAAGTATAATACGGTTTGTATTATACAAACAATTTTTTGTTTGCCAACACTGGTATTAACTATTTATATATATATATAAATGTTTGTTTTATTTTGGGGACTAAAAACAAAAAAAAGTTATATATTTTTTCCGATAATATTATCCACAAAACAATGTCCCAAATGAGACATTTCTTTATTGCCAATAGACATACTGTATGACTGACTGACTATTATTAGTAGTTTTACTGACTATTATTGATACAAAAAAAATATTATCATTTTTTTCTATATCTTTGATTTGTTATTTTTATTGATAGCCAAACAACAGGAGGAATGGCAACCATTTTATATGGATTTGAATCCCTTATTGGGTGCAACCGTTGTACTGGTATTGGCAACAATTTTGGTGGCCTTTATATTGGTATTGATTTGTAAGATCAATCGTCGCCGACATCGCCGACACCGAAATCGGGAACGACATAAAAACAGTGGTAGTGATAGTAACTGTTCGCCAAAATTTACAGATACAGATTTCAGGTCAAAGGTTAACAGCAATAATAATAATAACAATAAAAATACTAATACGGGAACTAATACTATGATCGACGACAAGTCGTTGTTTAATGATTATTGCGATACAAAAAGTCCTGATATTTTACAGCCGGCCATTGAATTTACCGGTAATTTATTTATTTACTTAATTACTAGTATTATTAGTATTAATATTTTATTTTTTATTTATAAAAAAAATTGTTTTTTAACATAAGTATTTTTTTTGTATTTTTATTATTATTTTATTTTCATATTATTATTATTATAATTATTATTAGTTAATTTTTTTTAACAGCAGTGATGTATATATATATATATATGAATTTATTTTTTATGTATAAAACTTAATATACAATATACATGTATATATATATATATATATATATATATACTGTATATAACTTAATTAAGCTTAATTTTTTTTATCAGTATATATTATTAAGTTTATTTATAATACTACTATTAATTTATTTAAACAATATATTAATATATATTATAATATTATATATATATACTGTATATTTTTGTGTGTTGGATAGGATTATAAATAATCTATAAAAAAAACTATAGCCTTAAAAAAATTATTTAGACTCTAAATGCATATTCAAAAAAAATAAAGTTAATTTACACTTAAAAAAAACCAAAATAAGTATTAATAAAGTAATAGTATTTTTTTTTCTCTCTCTCTCTCTTTACTATTATTCAAAATGATTAATGTTTTTAAAACTGACACTTCAATTGAGTCATATATATAGGAGTTATATTGGAGGCGACACACGGATTCATTTTGTTTGTTACACACATTTTATATATTATTTTGTATGAAAAAAAACATTTAATAATAAATTGTATATAAGTTTTATATATGTATATAAATAAATTATATATATATATATGTTTTATTTTGTATTTATAGTTAACACATACACGCAAAATGCTTCATTAATTTTGTGCTTTTATTTAAGCAATTGTCTAATATATTAATATACTGTATATATATATATATATATATATATATATACACTATATTACTGCATTATATATATATTATATACTGTATATATACATAAAGTTTTTTTTTGTTAACCCCTAAATTTCATTTACTAAATAGTAGTAATAGATTTATAGAAATATTATTATGGCTTTAATAATAATAAATAAAGTAAAATAAATTATTCAAAAAATTTTGACAAATAAATAATTTATAAATATATTTTTTTTTCTAAATATTCATATTAGTAAATATGTGTAATAATAATAATAATGTATTATAAATATGTTTATTACAATTTTATTGATAGTTTAACTGTTTTTTTTGTTGTTGTATAGAAATTGCATACTATTTAACAAAAATATATTATTATTATTATAATTATTATAAATATAGATTTAACTTGTTTTTTTAAAAAACAATTTATTTATCATATACAATGTCAAACAATATTGTTTGAATTTAAAGTAATAATAATAATTATTATTATTTTTTATAGTTATTTTATTTTGTATATATCTATTTAATATATATAATCAATTGTTTATATATATAAGTTATTTAATAAATGATTATTATTTTTTTGTTTGAAAAAACAAATTTATTTATCTTTATTATCTGCAATACTATATATAAAATTTTATTATTATTATAAATATAGATTTAATTAGTTTAAAAAAATAATTTACTTATCATATAAAGTGCCAAAAAATATTGTTTGAATTTATAGTAATAATAGTAAAAATTATTTTTTATTGTTATTTTATTTTCAATATATCTATTGATATAATAAATTGTTTCTATATATCTATATGTTATTTAATAAATCACTAATTTTTTGTTTGAAAAATTTTTATTTATCTATATAATAATTATTATTTTTTAATAGATATTTTATTTTCTATATATCTATTGATACAATCAATTGTTTATATATATATGTTATTTAATAAATTACTAAATTTTTTTGTTAAATTTTTATTTTATTTATCTATATTATCTATATAATAATTATTATTTTTTAATAGTTATTTTATTTTCTATATATCTATTTAATATATAATCAATTGTTTATATATCTATATATATATATATATATATGTTATTAAATAAATCACTATTTTTTTATTTTTAAAATTTTTTTTATTAAATATTATCTAGAGTTGGGCCACAGTTCACAAGTGCTTCAATGTTTGGCCATGGATTGGACCGAACTGTCCTCAAATACTACCGGTGGTGTTGGTGGCTCGGCTACATTAGTCGACTGTCTAGGCTATACAACTAACGGTTCAATACCCGGAATTAATTTAATTAATAATAGTTATGATAATAATATTATTAGTAATTGTAAAACAAATCAAACATTTCAAACCAATAGTATTAATAGATCCATACATCAGAAATTCAATTGCAATAATATTATCGATAATATTAGACAACTAGATGTAAGTATAAACTAATGATATCAATAGTTATATAAAAAAAATATAAATTATATCCATATATATGAGATGATTGTACAAAATAAAAATTTATTGAGAAAATTGATTCAAAAAAAATAATAATTCATATACTATTTATTACTTTCATTTTTTTTTACTTTTTTTTACTTTTTTAATGATTTATATCGATTGCATTTATACTTTCATCTCTATTATTATTATTATGTGTTATATATTATTATTATTATATATTTGTTATATTTATTTTCATCTATATATATATGTGTGTCTAACATACAGAATATGGAGAAGCAATGTATGGATTATAGTTACAACACTTTACCGCAAACTACATGTGAAACTTTAGAACCTGTGATAAATTATAGCCTAACAAACACTCGTAATGTAAGTCATCAATTGAATACTTAGTGTGTGTGTGTGTGTGTGTATGTGTATGTGTATGTGTATGTGTATGTGTATGTGTATGTGTATGTGTATGTGTATGTGTATGTGTATGTGGTGTATGTGTATGTGTGTGTATGTGTGTGTATGTGTGTGTATGTGTGTGTATGTGTGTGTATGTGTGTGTATGTGTGTGTATGTGTGTGTATGTGTGTGTGTGTGTGTGTGTGTGTGTGTGTGTGTGTATGTATGTGTATGTGGTGTATGTGTATGTGTGTGTGTGTGTGTGTATGTGTGTGTATGTGTGTGTATGTATGTGTGTGTATGTATGTGTGTGTATGTGTATGTGTATGAGTGTGTGTATGTATGTGTGTATGTATGTATGTGTAAGTGTGTGTGTGTGTGTAAGTGTGTATGTATGTGTGTGTGTGTGTGTGTGTGTGTGTGTGTGTGTGAGTGTATGTAAAGTGTGTGAATACTTACTATTTATTGTTAAGTAATATATTTTTCATGTATTTTAAGTAATACTATATATAATATATGTATACTGTATGTATAAATTAGAAAAGTGATTGAATGTATAATTTATATATATATATTGTTGTAACCAATAGAATATTCTTGTTATATAACAATATACTATTTTATATGTAATCACAGAATATTTATCTTATTCTATATATATATATATATAAAATATTCTGTATATTATATTAATACCTAAATTCTATATTTTATTTTATAGGACACCACAACACGTAAGCCCCCATTCCGTGCGCTATCGACTCCTGTATGAAATCAAATACATATCATACATATATAATACCAACAAACAAACAAAAAATCATTATTAGTGAGTAAGTGTGTAAATGGATGAGTGAGTGGGTGAGAGTTTATAAACAAAAAAAATCGATATTTAAAACAATAACGAATATTTAACATCAAAAAACAAAATTGTAATAATTTTTAATCACATAATTTGTTTGGTTAACGATTATATATTTTGAAATTAAAAAATTTTTTTTTTGGTAATGAATATTATATAAAAATCTATATATATTTTGTTATTATTATTATGAATATTATTAATACTACTATTTATTAAATTTTTTAAATAAAAATTGGGCACTTAATATGGGCTATATTATATTATATATTATATTATATATAGTGTGATATTTTTGATATTGTTATTATAATATTTTTGTTAACTTTAATAATATACAGTATATATTAAATATATATATATAATAATATATAAAACAATTAATTAGAAAATTTATGAGTCATATGATATTATATATAATATATATATACAAAAATTTTACACAAATATTTTAATCTATTCAAAAAACTTGACAAATTTTATTATTAATTTTTATGAGTTATTTATTATTATTATTATTATTATATTTTACTATATTTTATATAAAACCAACTATAATACCGGTGTTATACTGTTATATAATATTATGTTTATTAAGTTTATATACAATATTTAGTTATTTATTTTTTCTAAATTTTTTTTGCTACTAAAATCTTATATACAAACAAACAAACAAAAAATTATAGATTTTTTTTAAACTAAAATTATTAATAATTAAAAATTAAAACAATATCTTATTCAAAATTAAAATTTTTATATAAATTGTTTTTTTTGAAACATTTTTAGATATTAATTAGTAATTTTTCCAATATATTAAATTTAATATTTAAAAACTAATAATATTAAAACCAATTTGTCAATTTAATAATATATTTATAAATAAAACAACAACAAAATGTTTATATTGTGTAATATAATAATATTTTAGACGTATTGTAAATATTGTTATTATTATTAATTAATTAATTAATTAATTAAAAAATACAGTAATATTAATATTATTATTAATGTAAATGTTACTAATAAATTAAATTTTTTGCTCAACTAAAAATTTTGTTTGTAAATAAATAAATAATAATATTAAAAAAAGTGTTTTTTATTAGTGATTAATAATTAATTTTTGTTTTTAATCATTTTAAAAATGATTTTATTTATTAATTATTTTTTACGGTAAGTTTTTATATTTATATTATTAGTATATTATTATTACATTATGATTGTATTATATGCTAATTATATCTATAATAATAATAATAATATGTTTAAAAAATTATTTAAATCTTTAAAATAAAAATAAAATTTTATTGTTTTACGTAAACTATTTTTTGATTGAAAAATATATTATTTAAGATAATAATAATAAAATTAAATTACTTTTTAATCTACATATTTATCAATTAATAATTATATCCATTATATTGATTTTACTATAGTTAATAAAATATCAATTAATTATTATTGAATTTATTTTACAATTAATTGTTTCTATTATTTCTAATTTTATTTGTAATATTAAGTACTAAAATAAAATATTTTATTTTAAATATATTAAGATAGCAATACTAATACATTATATTTATATATAGTATATAATATAATTTATAATCTGTTTAATGTTAAAAATTATTTCAAGTATGTTGTCTTTTTAAAAAAAAATAATTATGGATTATTATATATGTATTTATAATTTTTATTATCATTTTTAAAATTTTGAAAAACATAAAACAAAATCCCAAAAAAATTTGTTGTGTAAAAGTTTTCTATCATTTATTATAATTAAGATAATATTTAGTATAACGATATTATGAATATATTTGAATTTAATATTAATGGATGTCTTATATGTATTGTGACATAAGTTTTATAATTTTTTTAAAATTATTTGTTTTTTGAAACAAATATTTTTCTTTGATATAAATTATTATCTGTTATCTATATATTTTTGTAATTTATTGCTTAATTTTACATTTTTGTTAAAATAAAAAAATAATGTATTAATATTACTGTTCTATATATGATATTATGATAATAAAAATATATATATATTTTATAATAAATATTATTTTTTATATCATTTAAATTATTTTGCAAAACTTTTGTTTTGATTATTGTTTTTTTTTAAATAACACTTAAAAACTTATTATATAATAAAATAAATAGATATTAGTAGATATAAAATATTTAATATACTTAAAAAAAAAAGTTTTAATTTAATGTTAATTTAAATACCAGTTAATCTACAATACATTATAAAACTGTAAGTAATTTTGATATATAATCTACAGTATTGATACAATTAAAGATTATTTTTACTAAAAAAAATTGTTTTTAACAAAATTTTTAGTCAATTTAGATATATATATGTAAACTAATGTGTAAATTGTTTTTCGTTTTTATTATTATTTGTTTTTTATTTATAAAAGATGCGATTAATTAATCTATTGATGAGCGCTTAGAAAACAATTGATGTGATAGTGTTGGCCGCTATTAGGATTTACTGGTAAATTTGTGGTCAACAAATTGGCCGAAACTTTAATCAACGACACAAAGTCTAATCATAAAGCCCTAATGGTTACCAATTCAGCGGATAATTCGCGTAAAAAGTTTGGTGTTTCGATCAGTCGGACAGTACGGGACGTGTTCTCTATCAGCGCGCCGAAGAAGTCACCGAAGAAAAGTCAGACAAAAATCAGGTTTCACGGCTATATAATAGGACAGTATGTTTTGAGCGCTGGTCTCGACTTTGACTTTACGGACATATTTTCCGAATATTTTCGCCGAACGACTCAATCGTAGTCTAGGAGTTGCCTCACATAACCGGATAGTTGTCCGATAAAGTGGAGACAATCGCTATCAGATGTCTATCGCAATGAAACCGATTTACGGACTTTACGGCCGGTTATTATTATTATTATTTGTGATTAGATTTTTAAATCATATTTTAAACCGATAATTGATTTTCTTATACATTATATACATATATACAGAAACCACCCGCGAAAAGGAATGGGATGTCAATGCAGCTGTTCATCGGCGACAAAACATAGCCACCATCTGGTCATTCAACGAGTCCAAAATGGGTAGACATAAACTAATGCACAATCGTTTTGTTAACAAACATAATGTTGTGGCACTGGTATGTGATATTTTTTATTAAATGTTGGTTAATATATATATATATATATATATATCAATAATTAATGATAATTTTTTAAATCAATAGTGTGTATGTCTGAGTTGTTGCGGTAATTTTGTGATAATCGGCTACAATACGGGACATATCGACCGATATAATATCCAATCGGGTATTCATAGGGCCGCGTATGGAAATAAAGGTATATTATTACTTATTTGTTATATTTTTTTGTTTAATTAAAACTTATATTTATATTTAGCGCATAACGCGGCTGTTAGAGGTATAGCCAGCGATGGACTGAATCAATTGGTCATAAGTGGTGGCAACGATTCGTTGCTCAAGTTTTGGCGATTTAACGGTAAAGAGTTATTAGCAAACTTGACATTAGATGCACCCGTAAATCAACTGGTGTTTCATAAGGAAAGGTAGAAAAATTTATTGCTAAATATTTATTGATTGACAATTAATTAATCGTATATTTCAGTTCATTATTAGCGGTTTCTTTGGACAACTTTTATGTCAATGTAGTTGATTGCGAAACACGACGAATAATACGTATATTAGGTCCGCATGGGAATCGCATTACGGACATGACTTTCAATCGGGAAAGCCGTTGGCTAATAACGTCCAGTGTATGGACTCAATAGTACGTGTTTGGGATCTACCGTCCGGTCTGTTAGTGGACGCATTTCGGGTGTCAACTCCGTGTATATCGCTATCGCTATCACCGACTGGCGAGTTCTTAGCCACTGCTCATACGTTATGATTTGGGTATCTATTTGTGGTCTAATATATCGCTGTACGCACCGGTATCTCTGCGTCCAATCAGTCAATCAAGAAGACTGTGAACAACCAGTTTTGCTTGAAATACCGTTTATTCGTAGCGATGATGAAGAAGACAACGAGGAAGAAGAAGAAGAAGAATGTCAGCGCATTGTGAAGATAGCGAACAACAATTAGATGAACTCAATGGACAATCAATCAGAGTCTCAATCAAAATCTGCCGAACAGTTAGCCGAGAATTTGATTAACATTGTCATCACTTCCCGACGAATCCAAAAAAAAGGAAAAATCTGCCAAAATTTGGATTTAATTAATTGAAAAAAATTTGATTTGTTTCGTATATAAGATACTAAAAAAACAATACAATGTTTATCCCAATGTTTTTTTCCTCCAGAGAAACCAAATAAACCTAAAGTACCGGTCCGTAAGCCCTAAAAAGCGCGCCATTTTTTTTTGGCGACAATGGCCGGCATTGAACCGAAGTTTCTGGTTACCCAATAATCCCGAAACAAACGATTCAACCGGTATCGACACGAAGATTCGCGACTATTTTAGCGCCGTTGTCATCGTTTGGCGAACTAATCATTTCTTAATCATAACCACTAATCAGCATTTAGTTATGCCATTCCCTTTTACCTATTGTTGACCATTAATATTGTGATTTTACTTAGTATTACTTGATTATTAGGTGAACAGGTAGTCACAGCTTGTATTACTGCTGGTAACTGTCATCACATCGATGTTAGCGGTGAACCGCAATTTTTGGAAACAATTCAACTGAATTACGACAAACCGGCCAAACTGGCCAACTGTTTCGTATAATTGGTTCGTGCGGTTTTGATTCGGTACCGTCGGATATTGGGGTACAGTATATCAAATCGGTATTCAATGGTACAGTTAACTCGATTGAAACATATTTACGGGTAACCAATAATATTAATACCCGGGTAACATACAATATGGCCACTTGGCATTCACTTGTTTATGGTTACGCCTATAGACATGAATTGAAACAATTGAAGACAACAGTTATACAATAGATTTTGAAAAATGTCCTTAAATTTAGATTTAATTAAAGTAGACGAAAGTTTTTTTTTATCAAACTGTTTATTATTTTAGATAATTTATTTCTTTTAAAAAAAATTATTTATTTATTTTTTATGTATTTATTTTTTATTTATAAGAGATTTATAAATAAGATATGCGATTAACTAATCTATTGATGAGCGAAAAACAAAATTATATAATTATATTAATTATAGTGATGTTGAAGTGTTGCCATCCATGCAAACCAAACTTGATGACGCTTTTTAAAAAATTAATAAATTTAAAAATTAGTTATTAATATTGTGTAAATTTTTTTGTTTTTTATCTTGGTCAGTAATTATGTTCCTTTTGGTGAAGACTCGCGCCGTTTTGATGGTGACCTTGACCTTGACCTTTGAGGTGGCATTGGGTGGGAGACTGGTCGCTCTCTCTCCACAAATTGTATTGTTTGCGATCGATCGCCCAAAGACACCACTACAACACATTATCATATATATATAGTATTTGGTTTCGCTTACGGTAATGTGACCGACAACACCATTGATAGCAACATTACTACAACTACTAACACCACTATCACTGAGGAGGGATCACCAGCATTTAATTATGCAATTCCATTTTATGTGTCTTTAACAATAAATATTTTGATTTTACTATTAGGTAATATAAGCTATTTAAAACATGTTATGATCAGGGCTACTAAAGTTTTTCGATTTAAAGGGGAGGGGGCGGGATATATGATATAGGGGTACCATTTTTATTGCATTTTTAAACGACAATTTTTTCCAAATTTTAGTTAAATCCCAATAAATTCTCTAATAAATTAATTAATAAAAATATTCCCAACTTAATTTCTCAATATTTTAAAAAATAAAAATTAAAGTATTGCATAAATATATATCTCTTAATTATAATAATGTCTATTATATAATAAGTCTAGTCAAAATTTTTATTAATATATTTTATTTATTTATTTATTAATTTTTTATTTATAAATTTTTTTTATTTATTTATGTTTTATTTGTTTTATTTATTTATTTTTTATTTATGTTTTATTTATTTATTTTTTATTTATTTATTTATTTTTTAATTATTTTTTATTTATAAGAGATTTATAAATAAGATATGCGATTAACTAATCTATTGATGAGCGAAAAACAAAATTATATAATTATAATAATTATAGTGATGTTGAAGTGTTGCCATCCATACGAACCAAACTTGATGACGCTTTTTTTTAAAAAAATAATAAATTAAAAAATTTGTTAATTATAATTATATCTTGATGAGTAATTATGTATTAAAAATAAGGGACAGTATAATCATCTGAAAACGCCTGATATATATATATTGTATATCCCTTTTAGTGAACACTGACTGGTCGATTCGAGCCGATTTGATGGCGACGGTGACCTTGACGGTGATTTTTGTGGTGACCTTGGACGGGACACGATCCGCGCCCGTCTCCAGAAATTGTATTGTTTGGTATCGATCACCTAAAGACACCTCAACCATAAACAATGACACACAAATTGTTTGTTATTTAAGATAATTTATTTCTTAAAAGACATGTCAAAAATATTGTTGTCAATGAAAAATAAAATTATATAATTATAATATTTATAGTGATGTCTTGCCATCCATGCTCACCAAACTTGATGACGCTTTTTTTAAAAAATAATAAATTAAAAAATTAGTTATTAAATTTGTTTATTATAATTTTTTTTAGTTTATAGTTTTTTATCTTGGTCAGTAATTGTTTTTAAAATAAGGGACCGTATAATCACCTTTTGGTGAAGTCTCGCGCCGATTTGATGGAGACGGTGATCTTGACCTTTGAGGTGACCTTGGGCGGGACACTAGGGCGCTCCCTCTCCACAAATTGTATTGTCTGCAATCGATCACCCAAAGACACCATTACAACACACTGTCGATCATACAGAACATCACGTTTCTGGGGTAGGATTTTGTCGGTATAACCATCGACAACGATGGATCTACCTTAAAATTATGTTTTATTTCCCATATGGAATTCAAAAAAAAAATGAAAAATAACATTTTCATACGGCAAAAAATTCGCATTTTTTACCACTTTTGGTTTGTTTGCTTTCGAAATCATCATTATCATCAAGGAGTTAGTTATTTTAATTTTAATATTTATTTATTATTTATTTATTTTTTAATTATTTATTATTTATTTATTTTTTATTTATTTATTAATTATTTTTAATTATTACCAGGCTCAGCAAGTTCGACATCAAGCAAAAAATGTCAATTAATTAATAATAATAATTAATGTTATTTTATTTTTAAATATTATTAACAAACCAATATATATATATATAATCAATAATTTTATATAATTTTTTTTTAATTATACCGTCTAATTTTTGCTAATTATTATTAATCATTTTTTTATAACATCTTTTATGAAATTAATCGCTGAAAGACTCCTACTATGACCTGTCGTTGCGCGATATCTACTGTCCAAATGAACCCGAGTTCAGGTGCTATGAAATACTTTTGCATTTAAACGATACGGCAATACTGAGAGACATACAGAACTATCGGCAATCGATTCGCGAGTCAAATGAAATATAATATATAATTTTTTAATTAATTATTTTATATATAATTGTATATATATTAATATATACTGTATATTATTTTTCATTTATTTTTTATTTATTTATTTTTTATGTATTTTATGGGACACCAGATTTGGCCAAAATATCGGATTTTACCGATGAAGTTGAGGCCAAATAAGGGCCATTCGTAGCCGTAGTCGACGTGGAAATAGTTTTTTGAACAATTGGTTTAAATTTATGAATACAATTAATACAATTTTTTTTTAAATATTTAATACTTTTGGTTTTTTTTTTGTATTAAATAATTGCCATAAAAAATATCAAATATTATAAAATAATTGTCACTAAAAAATCAACAATTAATATATTATAATTATAAAAATTAATAGATTTATTTATATTTTTAAGGCATATTTTTTAACCTCAGATTTGGCCAAAATATCCGAAGATTTTACCGATGAAGTTGATGCCAAAAAATGAGGCATATTTTTTGGCCAAATTTCGCGGCAATATTTGTAAAATTATAATAATGAAATCATATGATAATAATACTAAAATTTAATTTTTTTTTTTGATGACTTGCGGTTATTTTTAAAACTATCTAAACAAATTTTTATTATGTTATTAATGTTATCAATATTTTTTTAATTAATTTTTTTTTGTATCCAAAATATTTTACATTAAATAATTTTTGTTTAGTTTTTATTTTTGTTGGTAATTATTCTTAATACTAAAATAACTTAATAATAATAATAATCAAAAAAACAATGGTTTAATAAATTTACAATAAAAAAAAAGTTTATTTAAAAGTTTTTTTTATAAAGTATTTTTATTTAAATCAATTTTTAAAAAATAAATATATGTTTTAAAAATTGACAAAAAAAATATTCTAAATTAAATAATTTGTAGTTTTTATTATTATTATTATTATTATTATTAAAAAATAAATTTAAATGATTATCCAATTGTACGGTTGTTGTTGTTGTTGTTATTTTGTTGTTGGGCCGTAACTTTTGCCGACTGTAGTATAGTTCCCAGACAACCGGCATAACAATAATCCAGTGCCCGTTTCGCCAATTTATTATTTGTATAGCATATATGTCCACAATATGCCGATACCTTAATCTTCAGGATCTGTATCGGCGGCAACTTCTCGTCTTTATTCGGTTTTTTGGTTTTCTCCGCAAAACACTGTTGCATACAACGGACAACAACCGTATCCAATCCGGGTTCGGGTCCCGGATTGATAGTTTCGGGTGACTTATTGGTGTGCGGGTCCTGTTTCCAGCATTGGTTACCGCACGAGGCCAACAACCCGATTGCATCCATTGACTGATTTTGGACATTATCTGATCATCAATTAGGGGGGTCAAGGGTCAAAGGTTACATATAGTATTCAATTATAGAGTATATTTTAAATATAATAGTTATTATAATTAGTATTTTTTTAAAAAAATAAATTTTATTTACCTATACTAACGACTAGTATAACAATCAAAACTGTGATAAACTTTATCGATAATAATGTAGATTTCATTATTAGTATTATTATTATTATTATTATTATATGCTATTATATTGAAAATTATTGAAATTTAATTGTTATAATAAATCTATAATAATAATATATATATATACACTATGTATTAAAATGAAAGACAATTTTAAATGAAGTTTTAATTTGTTTTTTTTGTAACAGATGTTTATTAGTTATTATATTTTTTATATATATATTTTTAATAAATATGGATTGATTTTTTTTTAATTTTTATATAAAACTAATTAAATAATTAATTATATTTTTAAAATTCAAAATGGTTAGTTAACTAGATTTTAATTTAGTATTCAAATAAAATTTTTAAAATTTATTTTTTTTATTTATTAGATTATTAAATTTTAATAATAGCATTATATATACTGTATATAGTATTTTATAAATATATAAATTTACATATATCATTTATTGAATAATATAACTTTTAATTTTTAACTTTATTATTAAACATTTACAATTAAATTTAATTATAGTATTTTTAAAAACTACGATCCAGTATCTATATATATATATATATATATTTATATATTTATATAAAAATTACCAATATAAATTTATATGTTACTATACTTTATAAATAACTTTTATAAATTTAGTAAATTATTATTAATAATTTTGTTAGCTAAATAAATTAGTTATATTATTTAAAAAATATATTTAACTAATTTAAAATAATTTTATATGTATAATATGTATTAATTTTTTTTTGTAAAAATAATATAATATTTATTTTATATCTAGTAATTATATATTGTTATAATTTAATTGATTATATACTGGTATTTGTTAATGTTATAACTAAATAACATATTTTTATCATTATATTTATCATTGAGTATTACAATAGTCATGACATCAAAATCTAATCAGAGATTATTTTTTATAGTATTTATTTTTTTTAACTTATAATATATACAGTTGTTATACTCAATGATTATTATTTTAATGTAATTTATAAATAATTATTAATTATATATATAAACTGTGAAATAGATTTAATACAGTATACTGTATATGTATATATAAATTATACAATATTTTAAACACTAGTTATTATTATTAAAATATCGTAATTATTATTGTGTTATTATTATTAGTTGTTAACTTATTATAATTATTATTATCGGTTATAATAATAATAATAATAATAATAATAATTTTGTTAGTTAATCATTACAGTGCATATTTTAAACAAAACATATATAAAAAAATTACTGTATATGACAAATATTTATAATATTAATAATAGTGTTATTTTATTAATAAAATATAATAATAATAATAACAGCAAAATAGACAGTATTTAATTAATTTAAAGTTGTCATAATATTTTTAAAAATAATAATAATAATATTTTACAAGCAAAAAAAAACTATTGAATTATTATTTTAGTTAAAAAAAAATAATTGTATTTATAATACATGTGTGTGTTTAATATACACTGGTTTATACAGTAATATGATATTATGTATTATTATTATTATTACAACTATTTGTATATGCAATTTAATTATACCAATCAAATAGTAATTTAAAAATAATAATAATAATAATAATAATATAAAACAATTTTATTTTATTGTGTGTAAGCGCTCTGATTGTTATTTAAGACATTGTTTTTTGTTTGCTAAGTATAGACAAGTATTATATTTAATTTATTTTTATGTATTAATTAATTAATTTTTTTTTCAACAAACAAGTGCTATACAGTACTGTATATACGTAATCAGTTATTTAGTTTTAAAAAAATGTATTTTTTTTCATATATATATATTACTAATCAATTATAGTGTATTTTATTAAATAATAATAATAATTAATATTATTACTAATAATTTACTAGTATTACTATTAATCACTACAAAACTATTTATAATAAATTTATTATAATATGTTTTATGATATATACAGTATTATTATTATTATTATACACCTATTATTAATAATATGATTTTTTTTGGTGATATAATATCATTTTTAAAATAAATATTATATTACAATAAATTAGTGTTTTTTATATATATAAATAAATAGTTTGTGTATTTATTTTTATATTAATAATTATTAAATTCAAAATTAATTATGACATTAATAATAATTGTGATAATTATTAGTACAATATTTAGTTTAGTTATATTAATAATCAATTGTTTATCAAATAAATCTAAACGAAAGTCTATATTAGTTGATAATAAAAAATTAAATACTAATAATAATAATAATACTAATAATAAGGAAAAGTCATCACCAGATGAATCAATTGCCATCGATATTGAAGACAACAAACTAGTGAACAACAACAACAACAACAATAAAGTTAGAAAACTATTACCAGAAAGTGATATCAATAGTAATGATGAAACAACAAGTTTTGTTGAATTGATTTCTTCCTCCTCGACCTCCACAGCCAATGGTACTGTTGATCAGCCATTGAGACACTTTAATAAGTCGCGTCCTCGCAGATCAAACATTAGAAGATCTACACGATCTAAGTCTAGACTAGTATCAGACGATAATGACAACAATGATATTGTTATCAATAATGAATCCAATGATACATTGCTGGAGGAAATCAAAGAAGTAAATCCATCGAAAGCAAAAGTTTTTGATAACTATGGCGAAGATCTGTGCGAAACCTTATTGAAGGTGACATCAGAGTCGCGAAGAAGTCAACACTGGATGACGTTTAGGACACCGACGACGACCAGCGATGATATTATACAAGAAAATGATATACAAATTACTAATAGTAGTGAACAATGCATACATCAAACTAATAATAGCCGATATTTAGACGATAATCAGCTACCGGTACCACAACAGGTGAATGCATACCTGTCCCCAACAGGTACTACCGGTACTAACAATAAACTGATAGGTTTTCCTCTATTCGCTAATCAACAGCAGATTATGAGCGAACTGAAGAAAAAACAGTCCGACAAACAACTAATTTAAACAAACAATTCAATTATTATTATTATTATTTAATATTTTCATTATATAATTTCTGTAAGTTATGTACAATGTTTGTTATAAATAACTTTTACAACATTAACAAAATTTTTAATTATTTATAATTATTGATTTAATTACTATATTATAAAAGTATGTGACAAAAGGGTGTGTACTGTTTTTTTTGCTTAATAACTAAATTGAACTAGATCAATACAAAAAATTTGAAATGAGAAACATGGAAATCCTGGAACATAGTATAACAATAGTATAATTAATTTTTTTTATATAGATTTAAGCTTATGTAGCTAGCTAACCACCATGTGCCATATATCTAAAAACTATATAATAAATATCTAGATAAATTCTGATTTGATATCTATTGTACAAAAAAAAATGTTTCACCAAGGTAAACTCAATTCATAATATATGTAGTTTTATTTTCATGTAACGATTGGTTGGCCATAAACAACGGTAAAAACATGATATGACATTCAGTGTTTAAAAACTTATTATTTTTGATTGGCATCAGTATATCGGGTGATTGAAAAACAATTTGTATTTAAATACCTGTTCGGAAATAATTTCCAGTTCGCCTGTATTTACTGGCCGGGACGGTATCGAGTGCGGAACAAGTGGCTGGTGCGCCAACACTTGGTACGGCAGGTGCGGCCGTGTCAATAAAGCCAGTACGTGTTGTGCCGATACGACTGCTGGCCGCCACACCCGACGGCACTACGGAGCTCCCGGCGCCCGAGATGGAGCTGGAGTTGACCAGTAGGTTTGACGCGGACGTATTGATCGGGCCGGCCGTCGAAAGCTTAGCCGTCTCAACACCACTGGAAAGGGTGTTTCCCGAGGAACTCCATCGATTCCTAATGTAGTTTCCCCCCACATAATATAGGACACCTATATTATATATATATATATTTAAAAAATTTAAAAAAAACAATATATTTTTAAATTTAATATTAAATTTAAAAAAAAATTATTATAACCAGGGTTGCTTATAAGCGGGTAAGTTAGATTTTTTTTAAATTTATGTAAAATTTTATATTAAACAAAAAAAATATTAAATTAGTTTTAAATATAAATTAATAGCTTATGTATAGAAAATAAATAGATAAAAATACTTAATTACATCAATTTAACATTATTTACACTAAATAATATTTTAATAATTTTATTTTTAATTAATTATTATAATTAAGTTATATACGGTATATATTTATGCAATTCTTTAATTTTTATTTTTTTAAATAAATATTGATTTTAGAAAACATTTTGACTATTGAGAAATTAAGTTGGGAATATTTTTATTAATTAATTTATTGAGAATTTATTGGGATTTAACTCAAATCTGGAAAAAATTGTCGTTTAAAAATGCAATAAAAATGGTACCCCTATATCATATACCCCGCCCACCTCCCCTTTAAATCGAAAAACTTTAGCAACCCTGATCATAACATGTTTTAAATAGCTTATATTACCTGATAGTAAAATCAAAATATTTATTGTTAAAGACACATAAAATGGAATTGCATAATTAAATGTTGGTGACCCCTCCTCAGTGATAGTGGTGTTAGTAGTTGTAGTAATGTTGCTATCAATGGTGTTGTCGGTCACATTACTGTAAGCGAAACCAAATACTATATATATATACAGTAAATATATATATAAAAATTTAGTGTTAATTAAATAATAATAATAATAATAATATGACATATACATGAAATGACGATTAAAAAATAGAGCATCAGATTCAGTGAACCTATCGACTGTGTGGACAGTGACCGTAATTTTGCATCAATGGCCGACTGAGACATTGATTTCAGACAATCCATTTGTGGATTACAATCTCTTTCGTTATGACACGTAATCATCAGTTCACCAAATGAACGCTATCTATGCCAATTGATAAAAATAAATAAATAAAAATAAATGAATAAATAAACTATCGTTAAAAAATCTGAACGGCCAGTTCGTACAGTGCCGACACGTCTGCTGGCCACAGCCGAGGGAAGTGTGGAGCTCACGGCGCCCGAGAAGGAGCTGGAGTTGGCCAGTAGGTTTGACGCCGATGTGTTTATCGGGCCGGCCGCAGATCTCTTTCCCAGCTCACCACCGCTGGAAATGGTAGTTTCCGAGGAACTCCATCTACTCCTAATATAATTGACAACATAATATACGATTTAACTCTAATTTGGAAAAAAATGTTGTTTAAAAATGCAATAAAAATGTTATTCCTATACCATATACCCCCCGCCCATCCCCTTGAAATCGAAAAACTTTAGCAACCCTGAGTATAGAAAAAATCTTAACAAATAGTAAAATCACAATATTAATTGTCAACAATAGTTAAAAGGGAATGGCATAACTAAATGCTGATGACCCCTCAGTGATGGTAGTAGCGGTGGTATTGGTAGTGGTATTAGTAGTAGTAGTAGTAGTAGTTCCAAGAAATAGAGCATCAGATTCAGTGAACCTATCGACTGTGTGGACAGTGACCGTAATTTTGCATCAATGGCCGACTGAGACATTGATTTCAGACAATCCATTTGTGGATTACAATCGCTTTTGTTATGACACGTAATCATCAGTTCACCAAACGATGATAACGGTGTCAGATAGGCATTAGTATCGGGTGATTGAAAACAATTAGCATTTAATTTAAATACCTCTACGGAAATAATATCCAGTTTGCCTGTATTACTGGCCCGGTCGGTATCGAGTGCGGAACAAGTGGCTGGTGCGCCAATACTTGGTCCGGCTCATATGGAGATCCGATGTGTCCGATCCGATGTGTCCGAACCGATGTGTCCGAACCGATGTGTCCGATCCGATGTGTCCGATCCGATGTGTCCAACCGAACCGATGTACCCGAACCGATCTAACCGAACCGATGTGCCTAATCCGATGTGTCCGAACCGATGTGTCCGATCCGATGTGTCCGATCCGATGTGTCCGATCCGAAGTGTCCGAACCGATGTGTCCGAACCGATGTGTCCGATCCGATGTGTCCGAACCGATGTGTCCGAACCGATGTGTCCGATCCGATGTGTCCGATCCGATGTGTCCGATCCGATGTGTCCGAACCGATGTGTCCGAACCGATGTGTCCGATCCGATGTGTCCAACCGAACCGATGTACCCGAACCGATCTAACCGAACCGATGTGCCTAATCCGATATGTCCGATCCGATGTGTCCGAACCGATGTGTCCGAACCGATGTGTCCGATCCGATGTGTCCGAACCGATGTGTCCTAACCGATGTGTCCGAACCGATGTGTCCGATCCGATGTGTCCGAACCGATGTGTCCGAACCTATGTGTCCGATCCGATGTGTCCAACCGAACCGATGTAACCGAACCGATCTAACCGAGCTGATGTGCCTAATCCGATGAGTCCGAACCGATGTGTCCGATCCGATGTGTCCAACCGAACCGATGTACCCGAACCGATCTAACCGAACCGATGTGCCTAATCCGATGAGTCCGAACCGATGTGTCCGATCCTGTGTACCCGAAATGATGTGTCCGATCCGATGTGTCCGATCCGATGTGTCCGATCCGATGTGTCCGATCCGATGTGTCCGAACCGATGTGTCCGATCCGATGTGTCCAACCGAACCGATCTAACCGAACCGATGTGCCTAATCCGATGTGTCCAAACCGATGTGTCCGAACCGATGTGTCCGAACCGATGTGTACGAACCGATGTGTCCTAACCGATGTGTCCGAACCGATGTGTCCGATCCGATGTGTCCAACCGAACCGATCTAACCGAACCGATGTGCCTAATCCGATGTGTCCAAACCGATGTGTCCGAACCGATGTGTCCGAACCGATGTGTCCGATCCGATGTGTCCGAACCGATGTGTCCGAACCGATGTGTCCGATCCGATGTGTCCGAACCGATGTGTCCTAACCGATGTGTCCGAACCGATGTGTCCGATCCGATGTGTCCGAACCGATGTGTCCGAACCTATGTGTCCGATCCGATGTGTCCAACCGAACCGATGTAACCGAACCGATCTAACCGAGCTGATGTGCCTAATCCGATGAGTCCGAACCGATGTGTCCGATCCGATGTGTCCAACCGAACCGATGTACCCGAACCGATCTAACCGAACCGATGTGCCTAATCCGATATGTCCGATCCGATGTGTCCGAACCGATGTGTCCGAACCGATGTGTCCGATCCGATGTGTCCGAACCGATGTGTCCTAACCGATGTGTCCGAACCGATGTGTCCGATCCGATGTGTCCGAACCGATGTGTCCGAACCTATGTGTCCGATCCGATGTGTCCAACCGAACCGATGTAACCGAACCGATCTAACCGAGCTGATGTGCCTAATCCGATGAGTCCGAACCGATGTGTCCGATCCGATGTGTCCAACCGAACCGATGTACCCGAACCGATCTAACCGAACCGATGTGCCTAATCCGATGAGTCCGAACCGATGAGTCCGAACCGATGTGTCCGATCCGATGTGTCCAACCGAACCGATGTACCCGAACCGATCTAACCGAACCGATGTGCCTAATCCGATGAGTCCGAACCGATGTGTCCGATCCTGTGTACCCGAAATGATGTGTCCGATCCGATGTGTCCGATCCGATGTGTCCGATCCGATGTGTCCGATCCGATGTGTCCGAACCGATGTGTCCGATCCGATGTGTCCAACCGAACCGATCTAACCGAACCGATGTGCCTAATCCGATGTGTCCAAACCGATGTGTCCGAACCGATGTGTCCGAACCGATGTGTACGAACCGATGTGTCCTAACCGATGTGTCCGAACCGATGTGTCCGATCCGATGTGTCCAACCGAACCGATCTAACCGAACCGATGTGCCTAATCCGATGTGTCCAAACCGATGTGTCCTAACCGATGTGTCCGAACCGATGTGTCCGATCCGATGTGTCCGAACCGATGTGTCCGAACCTATGTGTCCGATCCGATGTGTCCAACCGAACCGATGTAACCGAACCGATCTAACCGAGCTGATGTGCCTAATCCGATGAGTCCGAACCGATGTGTCCGATCCGATGTGTCCAACCGAACCGATGTACCCGAACCGATCTAACCGAACCGATGTGCCTAATCCGATATGTCCGATCCGATGTGTCCGAACCGATGTGTCCGAACCGATGTGTCCGATCCGATGTGTCCGAACCGATGTGTCCTAACCGATGTGTCCGAACCGATGTGTCCGATCCGATGTGTCCGAACCGATGTGTCCGAACCTATGTGTCCGATCCGATGTGTCCAACCGAACCGATGTAACCGAACCGATCTAACCGAGCTGATGTGCCTAATCCGATGAGTCCGAACCGATGTGTCCGATCCGATGTGTCCAACCGAACCGATGTACCCGAACCGATCTAACCGAACCGATGTGCCTAATCCGATGAGTCCGAACCGATGTGTCCGATCCTGTGTACCCGAAATGATGTGTCCAATCCGATGTGTCCGATCCGATGTGTCCGATCCGATGTGTCCGATCCGATGTGTCCGAACCGATGTGTCCGATCCGATGTGTCCAACCGAACCGATCTAACCGAACCGATGTGCCTAATCCGATGTGTCCAAACCGATGTGTCCGAACCGATGTGTCCGAACCGATGTGTACGAACCGATGTGTCCTAACCGATGTGTCCGAACCGATGTGTCCGATCCGATGTGTCCAACCGAACCGATCTAACCGAACCGATGTGCCTAATCCGATGTGTCCAAACCGATGTGTCCGAACCGATGTGTCCGAACCGATGTGTCCGATCCGATGTGTCCGAACCGATGTGTCCGAACCGATGTGTCCGATCCGATGTGTCCGAACCGATGTGTCCTAACCGATGTGTCCGAACCGATGTGTCCGATCCGATGTGTCCGAACCGATGTGTCCGAACCTATGTGTCCGATCCGATGTGTCCAACCGAACCGATGTAACCGAACCGATCTAACCGAGCTGATGTGCCTAATCCGATGAGTCCGAACCGATGTGTCCGATCCGATGTGTCCAACCGAACCGATGTACCCGAACCGATCTAACCGAACCGATGTGCCTAATCCGATGAGTCCGAACCGATGTGTCCGATCCTGTGTACCCGAAATGATGTGTCCGATCCGATGTGTCCGATCCGATGTGTCCGATCCGATGTGTCCGATCCGATGTGTCCGAACCGATGTGTCCGATCCGATGTGTCCAACCTAACCGATCTAACCGAACCGATGTGCCTAATCCGATGTGTCCAAACCGATGTGTCCGAACCGATGTGTCCGAACCGATGTGTCCGATCCTGTGTACCCGAAATGATGTGTCCGATCCGATGTGTCCGATCCGATGTGTCCGATCCGATGTGTCCGATCCGATGTGTCCGATCCGATGTGTCCGATCCGATGTGTCCGAACCGATGTGTCCGATCCGATGTGTCCGATCCGATGTGTCCGATCCGATGTGTCCGATCCGATGTGACCGAACCGATGTGTCCGAACCGATGTGTCCGATCCGATGTGTCCGAACCGATGTGTCCGAACCGATGTGTCCAACCGAACCGATCTAACCGAACCGATGTGCCTAATCCGATGTGTCCGAACCGATGTGTCCGATCCGATGTGTCCAACCGAACCGATGTACCGAACCGATCTAACCGAACCGATGTGCCTAATCCGATGAGTCCGAACCGATGTGTCCGATCCTGTGTACCCGAAATGATGTGTCCGATCCGATGTGTCCGATCCGATGTGTCCGATCCGATGTGTCCGATCCGATGTGTCCGAACCGATGTGTCCGATCCGATGTGTCCAACCTAACCGATCTAACCGAACCGATGTGCCTAATCCGATGTGTCCAAACCGATGTGTCCGAACCGATGTGTCCGAACCGATGTGTCCGATCCGATGTGTCCGATCCGATGTGTCCGATCCGATGTGTCCGATCCGATGTGTCCGATCCGATGTGTCCGAACCGATGTGTCCGATCCGATGTGTCCGATCCGATGTGTCCGATCCGATGTGTCCGATCCGATGTGACCGAACCGATGTGTCCGAACCGATGTGTCCGATCCGATGTGTCCGAACCGATGTGTCCGAACCGATGTGTCCAACCGAACCGATCTAACCGAACCGATGTGCCTAATCCGATGTGTCCGAACCGATGTGTCCGATCCGATGTGTCCAACCGAACCGATGTACCGAACCGATCTAACCTAACCGATGTGCAACATGTAAATGTTACAGTCAATTTTACAAAGATAAACAGAATTTCCGATATCCCAATACAAACAGACAAACTTATTCAAAATATCTCATCAACTTTCAAAATGAATTTAGACTCAACGGGTCTTTCCCGAATGACAAAATTTAACATGGAAGCACAGACATTATTAGCCCAAGCTATGAATGATTTGGATAAAGATTTTACAACTTATAAATATAGAGGAACCTTTTGGGGTTACTTTAGTTTAATTAGCGACTCAATTCAAATGATTACTACACTAACAGTAATATTTGGATTACTTTCGTTTACTAAAATATTTGGCATCTTTGCAGCAACAACAGTAATCATTGAACCGACATATGCCATTCAGCCAATTCCTGATATAAAACTATTACCCGATATAACTGTAGATGTTATGAATGACACCATTGCAATCTCATTTATTATAAACGTTGTGTTTTGCATTGTATTCGTACTAATGTTGGCGCTGTTTATAACTTACGGTACCTTCAGACACAAGAGACAGAGTGTTCATAATGGTAGAGGACTACCATTGTTTGGTGTATGGGAAGGTCAGACAATCCAGAACATCAATAGAAACATTGACAGGAGTTTAATACTTGAACTTTTTTACAAAACACATCTCTTCCGATACACTAAGCGAGAAATAGTACGTCTAAGAATACCATTGGTCAAATTCTCTTCCCGATCAATTCATTATATTACAGTCAAATACCAAATAAATATGTGGAGTATTACCAAAGCAGACGACGGTCTAAGTGTAAAGTTGGCGGATAAGATCTATTTAATGGGAATTGATTACGCCGGAAATAGAATAGAAGACAGAGAAATGGCAATTGAAATCTCAACTAAAGACATCAATTGGACCACAAACAACGCTCACAAACCCGAGGCTTTCAAAACAATTGGAAACGATGGCTTCGTAATAGCGAATGTCATTGAACGGTATCGTGGAACACCAATTACACTACCTTTACCCCCAATAGTTAGCCAGCCTACACGTGACAGAATTAATTTCAGACCTTTTAAAAGAAACCGAAGAACAAACGAAACTATACAAACCTCACCCACTTGTCCTGATATTGAAGAAGTCGACGAAACTAATTTTTAATTTTACTAATTATATAATTATGAGAGATTTTGTTAACAAATTATTATTAAAATAAAAGAGCATTCCAAAAATCAATTTAATTTGTTGTTGTATTTAAATAAAATAGACAATATGGAAGAGTTTTTACATAGATCTGATGAACCGAATGTTTACATAAATCCACAAGTAGATCATGGAAATAAAATTCCCCGAACTAATAGTGACCCAAATTTGTTTGGGAGGCGAATAGACGATACCAATATTCATACACCTAGTTATGTTGAACTAGTCAAAAATACCAAGAATCAATGTTTGACAAATTAACTAAAAGTCATGAAAAACTACAGGCACAAATGAATAAACAACTTCAACAACAACAACAATTAATTCAAAGAATGCAAAATAACGGACCAAATAGAAACAGGAATCAATGGAATAACAACAATAACAGAGCAAATGGAAACAGCAATCTAAACTACAGACAACCAAATAATTTTGACAGAAGGAAAAACATCACCTGTTGGAATTGTAATCAAAAAGGACATTATTCTAACGAATGCACTAAACCAAAGACCACTGATTCAAAAAACGAGGATTACACCAATTGAGTCACGAGTTAAATTTGGTGTATAGTTTTAATAACTCGTATAACTTAATTCAGGCCCCAATTATAATTAATCAAAATTATTTTAAAGCAATAGTCGATACCGGAGCAACAATCTCTTTAATTAATAAAAATGTTTTTACTACTTTAAACATACCGTTCATTAAAACAGACAATTTAAATGTGAAATTATTAACGACAACTGTAACACTTATAAAACAAACCCCTAAATTAACTACTATTTTTGAAGACAATAAAATCGAACACAATTTTTACATTTGCAATGAAATGATACACCAAGTCATTTTAGGTCTTGATTATTTTACAAAAACAAATATTATAATTGAATTCAAAAATACTGAAATTCCTCCAAAAACAAATCCAATTAACTTGTTTATAACAAACACTGAAACATGTGATCCCAATTCAATTACTTATATGCTGTTATACCCTGATTATTTAGACTATTTCGAATATATTTTCACACCTAATAATGATGTCATATTAAAACATAATGTCGAAATCGATGAGTGTATTATAACAAGAGAATGGCCCATAATAATTCCAGTTCTCAACAAAAACAATTTCGTTATAACTCTTAAAAATGGTCTCAATTTAGATTACTCGAGCCAACTCGAAAGCAACAATTATTACTAATGAAAACAGAAAATATATTCATTGAAGAATTAATTATCGAAATTAAACATCCAAAACTTATAAATTTATTAGAAAGCTATAAACATTTATTTGCAACAGACATTAATCAAATAAAAAGGGCCAAAAATATAAAACATCATATTGAAACCGGAGACAACAAACCATTAAGGAAAGCACCGTATGCTACACCACCTGAAGAAAAGAAAATAATTGAAGACGAAATAAATAAAATGTTGGAAGCGGGAATTATAAGACCATCAAATTCTCCATGGGCTTCTCCGGTCGTAATAATCACAAAAAAGGACGGATCAATAAGATTTTGTGTCGATTACAGAGAGTTAAATAAAATAACCAAAAGAGACAGCGGTCCGTTACCTTTGATATCCGAAACTATAGATGCATTATACTCGAGTAATATTTTCACAAAATTAGACTTAAAATCTGGCTATTGGGCCGTCGGTATGCATGAAGACAGTATAGAAAAAACAGCATTTTGCTGTTATTTAGGTCTATATGAGTTCTTAGTTTTACCATTCGGCATAACCAACGCACCTGCTAGTTTTCAAAGATATTTACAACAGATTCTCTCTGGAATTCTATATAAATTTGCTGTAGTATACATTGACGATATCATCTGTTTCTCAAAGACAATAGAAGAACATATTGACCATTTATCAGAAATTTTTAAAAGAATTGAACAACACAACCTTAGATTGAATCTAAAGAAAGATGAAATAGCCAAAACAGATGTCGAATATTTAGGACATATCGTTGGAAGAGACGGTGTTAAACCAAACCCAGACAAGATTGAAGCGATTAAACAATTCAAACGTCCCAATACAGTCAAAAACGTTAGGGAATTTCTAGGACTTTGTAATTATTATCGAAAATTTGTCTTAGGTTTTGCAAAAATAGCCCGACCAATGAATCAACTGCTAAGGAAATCTAACAGAATTGTATGGACCAACGAGTGTGAAGACGCGTTTTTAACACTTAAAGAAAAATTAACAACACCCCCAATATTGAGTCATTTTCAACCTGATTGTTATAATGTTTTATATACCGATGCTTCAAACTATGCTTTGGGTGCAATTTTATCTCAAATTCAAAACAATAAAGAGACTTTCCACTTTTTAGTGGACCATGGAAAATAACACGAAAATATAGTCCAATGTTGTTCGAGATTCAAAGCGTGGAACACCCACGTAAAAGAAAACGCAAAGCGAATATAAGGAATCTAAAGGTCTGGCATATGGAGGACTCCATTGTCCCTGTCCAATCATCCGATTCCGAAACAGAGATAAAAGATGTCTGTGATGAGACTGAGATCCCAAATCCACATGACTACACCCGAGAACACGAAACACCGGATAAAGATTCAGCTGAATCTAAGGATGACGAAATTAAAGCGCTTATTTGAAATATATTACTCAATTGTCATTTCTATAATTACTCAATTGTTATTACTATAATTACTCGATATGTTATTTGAAATATATTACTCAATTGTTATTTCTATAATTACTCAATTGTTATTACTATAATTACTCGATATGTTATTTGAAATATATTACTTTTGTTTTTACTATAATTACTTAATTGTTATAACTATAATTACTCAATTGTCATTACTATAATTACTCAAATATTAATAATACATTATTGATATTGTATGTAATTTCCGGGACTGAAATTTTAGTGACCAGGGGTATATGTAGAATAGTTATTAAATGCTGAATAATAACAGCGATAGTGAGTTATTATTCAGCGTTTAGTTATCAGATTAAGCACTTATTGGCGTCAATAAGTCGCCAATAAGTGCTGAAACTAAAAATCAAACTAAAAATCACCGGAAATCAAAAAACTATATATAGCGAGTGAAATTAATCACTCGCTCTCTTGACTTTTTGGGGACAAAACATTATTGACTGACAATAAATACTATTACCATTAAAAGTAAGTCCTATATCATATTTGCTTATACCCGCCGGAAGTCCGGCGCGGTGGCCGAAAGGCTGCCGCACGGCACCGGCGGGCTTCGTCGTTACGCCCGCCACCGACACTAACCCCCGGCCACCGCTTTATTGAAATTTGACTGGAATATTGACAATTTAAATTATCTTTATCTATTTCTAAAGATATCTTATTAGTCTCTAAATGTATCAAATAATTGTTGCTTTCGAGTTGGCTCGAGTAATCCTAAATTGAGACCATTTTTAAGA